CCAATATAGAAGACCTTAACCCTAAATTAATCGAAAAAATTATTAAATATAAGTTGCCTCCGCTTTAGACGTCCCCCCAAAATTTCGTATTTTGAATTTTATGAACACAGCCAATCAGATTAATAGGAATTAACAAACAACGTGATCTGTAACCAATTAAAATTTTCTAAAATTGTTTTATGGATAACTCCCAAAATTATGGATTTGACTCCTGGTGGTTAGATGTAATTATTTGCGCCACAGTTGGTCACGTGTTAGCAGAATTTTGATGGCGATACTTTCGTTCTAAATCAATTTAATCCACTAACTTTGTATTACTGAATCACTTCAAAGACAAGTTGGTAGAATAACCGGATCAAAATGGATGTCAAACGCGAATAAGTTAAGTTTTTAAAGTACAAACTAGTACAATCTGGTAAAATTTTAAGCCATTTTATTCTAGAAAAAAAGTTTCTCTCGAGTTGAAAGTTCTATTACAAAAAATTCGTGTAACAGGGTTTTTTCAACCAATCATAACAAACTTTACCCATGCGCACTTTGATACAATCGAGCTGAAAAGCAAGTTATTAAAACTTTTCGCAGACTGGTGCTTTATGTTCTAAAAGCATTTCGTTTTGAGGAGCCAATCCAACACAAGCACGGAAAAAGTTTTCCATTGCCATACGTTGCTTGCTTAATGCATTAACAACAGGAGTGCCAAGTGGAACCAATGGAGCTTTCAACATGAAACTTAAAATAGACAAAACAGAATCAAAAGGTACGAATTCTGCCATTCCTTCAGCACGATACTCAATACGAGTCATCAATTCGGTAATGATAGCCAAATCCAAGATAAGGGGTGAGGCCAAAAGAGAATCCTCACACGTATTATACAACGAAATAGTCTAATAAATGCAATTAAATGTATCAAAAACGTACATATAATCATATATTTAAGAATGTAAAACAAATAAATAAATATCACTTACATTCTTACCACCCATGAATATTTCCGAAACATATTCATCCAAGGCACGCTTAGAATCCCCTACTGCAGGTACATATTTAATAACGACAACTATTTACATTTAAAAGAATATCAGAATACCTTAGTTACAATAATATGAATAAATAAGAAATGGGCTGCCGTCAATAGAAATCAAGCAGATTGACAATTTTTAAAAAACCAATACCTTAACCTTCGTCGCTCATCTCTCGGCGAATTTCAAAGCTATCCTCATAATTTAATAATCAAAAGAAAACTTAGATCTTTTTACTGTAAATTCTCTAAATAGCAGGCATGAGCGTTATTTCGAATTTTGGCCCGAATTAAGTTTAATTCGGGCCAAAATTCGAAATAACGCCTATGCCCGCAATTTCGAGAATTTACGGTATTATTAAATTATGAGGTTAACTTCGAAATTCATTGAGATATGAACAATGAATTTAAGGCATTAGTTTTTTTAAAATGTCAATCTGCCTGATTTCTATTGACGGCAGCCCAAATGTTGACAAGATATTGATATTACCATGATCGGGATGTTCGCCCGGTTTATAAAGAATTTGATTGGCCGCAACCATATCATCAACCACGTTACTTTTAGAGATTTCTTTAGAACGGAATTGTTGCGGAGCAGATAAGTTCTTACCATCATTGTTACCAAGATGGTTATAAGAGGTAATACCAATTGGTTTAATGCCAGCGCTAACCAAAAAGTCCACCAATACGGATTTAACCTTTGTCTGACCAGACTTAAAATCATCACCACCAATGTAAACGTGTTCACGTTCAGCAAGTTCGATACAGCCAGGAACAAAAGTATTTTGGGGCGAACCATTAATGAACGGGGTTTTTTCAAGAATACAAGCTAATGCAAAAATAGTGGAAGGAGCAATTTCTGGATGATTTTGTTCAACAGCTTTGAGAATATTATCAGCGGTATCATTAACACCTGGAATAATTTCGGAATATCGTTCAGTGTTAGCAGTCCAGACGACGATCACTTTATCGAGCTGATTAGCAGCTTTAAACTGGCGGATATCATCACGAATGTGTTCCAAGTGATTTTTCTTATTATCACCAGGGATAAGATTATCTGCTCGATCACGTTGATTAGCAGCAATAAAATCAGGGTAATAAATGGAAGGAAGAGGAGTCAAATCTTGAAGCATTGGAGCAACTTGACGTTGGAGATCATAGTCAAGAACTTGAGCACGCTCCATAGCTTGAGCAAGATTAAAAGAGTTAATATCCCAACCACCAAGGACCAGATCATTGGGATGAACCATGGGCAAAATTTGGTTAAAGGGAATGTAAACATCATTTCCTTTAGCATCAACACCGAGTTTGAGTGTTGAAGCTTGAACAACAGATCCAAAATAATTTGGAGATTTAATTCCTTCCTTGGTACGCCAAGAGATGTTCTTACGGTTAGCAACAATACTAGCGGTCAAGGTAGAACCATTATTACCGCCCCAGCCAACCATCATCAATCTGTAAAGTAAATGTATAACAAAATGAAATGTGAGCACTTTAATTGCAGCAAGCCATAAATGTTGTTGTGATACAAAGCCGGGAACGTGCCAAAGTTAATATCATAATATTATCATATTTGAAGATCAACCTAAAAAAATTTCGCTAAAATAAATGTCAAGACCAGGGGTAACATCAAATCAAAAATACATTTAGACTTTGACACTAACACTAATATAGTAATAGCGACGTCAACTTCAAGCACGACAGTATCTTCAAATTACACATTAAGTGATTGACCAGAAAGTTTCCATTTTTGAAATATGCGCTTTTTTTTTTTTTAAATCGGTCCTGCAGCGATTGTGAGCCGATTTTAAGCAAGTTTGTAAAAACAAAATTGACGGTTCTAACCGGTCTTTGGTTAATAAGTGAAGTTGTGAAAATTTTATTTTTTTTTTTATATGACTAAATTAATATTGGTTTATTAATTTCTATATTAGTTTGAGTAATTTAAATGGACCAATTAGGGACCGATCGATTACATTTCGGTCCTATCTAAATTAAAAACTAATATAAAAATTAATAAATCTATATTATTTATAGTTTTTTATGGTTATAATAAAAAAACTTGCTCAAAAATGGCTCATAATTGCTAAGGGGCCGATTAATATCCCTATTTTTCACACTTACCCAACTTTTGGGACTTTCAATTCAGTCTTAAACTGGTATTTGGTTTCAGTGGGCAAAACTTCAAAGGTGCCCTCATTACTCTTAGATACGATTGCATTATGATACACATAATCAGAAATAATATGTGTATCAGCGTATTTGACGTTAGGAGTGGTAACTTTAAAAATGGTACGGGCGTCAGGGAGTGTCACAGGGGTTTCGGAATGGAGTCGAGAAAAATGTGGGGACATATTAAAATGTCAGAAGAGGATAAAGCAGAAAAAAAAGTTATCCCTAGTAATGTTAGTCGAAATTATTAGACATTTAGGCATTTAGACAAATTGAATTTAGCAATTTTGACTGTTGTTTTTTAAAAATTACTATTAAAAATAAATTTAGACAATTTAATTTAGACAAATTTTGACATTAGCAAAAATAATTTTGATTAACAACGACTAACAACATTACCCTAGGGGCTAGTTTTTGGCTTTGCAGCGACCTTCTTCCGTCCCCTGTGAGGATTATGTAACGAACTTAGAAGATTTGCGAACGTGTTGGGCAAATTTCTAAGGCGAAAGTGTTATCGCCTTATGTAAAAATTCTATTGTTTATGTGGATGCGAATGTGAATATGTGAAAAATACGAGATTGAAGAGCAAGTTAGTATCTCTTTTTTTTTTTTTGTTTACTATATTCAATTTATAGAAATCAGATTAGTGTAGTCAAATTAGGTTTATTTAATTGGACATATGTTCAATTTCAATTGGATTATCTAATTGCTAAACATTGATAAGATTGTTTGGGGCAGATGTTAGATAAGAGATTAATTTTTTAATATATCAATGTGTCATTGTTATTACAATATCTAATTCGGGAATATTTTGTTACCTTGCAACATATGAATGCGCATGATTCTAATTATCACGATTCTAAGCACACCCCATTAACATTTCACGATCGAAAAATTTCTTTAAAGTTTGTTAAGGCTAGAGATTATACTAGATTGGAAGCTTAGTAGGATATATAATAAAATTAATGAAGTTGTAAATTGCAAAGGAGAAAATTTTTGAATTTTTGTTATAGTACGAAGATAGTCTGTTAAGAATTTTTTTTTTTTTTTTCGGACGTTCGTTGATCGTGGCACGTTACATTAAACTACGAAATTTTTTTCTGTCTCCATGGCAGTGTTGTTTAATTCCAAAATCTAATGATTTTTGATTGGACAGTGGACGTCCAAGATCCAATTGCTAATGTCAAAAATTACGATTGGACGATGTACTGTACATCGCTGTCTGAGGGCAGTTAATTATCACATTGTTCGGATCAATTATCACACGTAAAAGTTAATATACATAACGACAATTTGATTGCAAATTGATGCTTCTTTATTAATTAAACTTGTTAAACCTAACTTTTTTTAAAAAAATGAATATTTTTGAAGAAAAAAAATATTATGTTACTTTAAACATGAAAAAAAATTTTTAATATGCCATTAAACGCTGTATGATGCAGAAACCAATATCCAAACATTATTTTTTTTTTTCTAGAAAAAAAAAATAAGTCTAAAAATCTAAAAATTAATATTCGACATAATACTCGTTGAAATAATAAATAAGAAATGATAATGTTCTTTTTTGTTTGGAATTACTAGTTTCACCGCAGATGACATTTTTTACAAATTCCATTCATTACATTCATCACAAATTCCATTAACATTTATTATAAATTTCATTCATTATATATACCCTTTTTTATTCATTTATATCTATAAAGATAACAAAATGAACAGTAAGCGATTTTGATCAATCACAAATAAATCATGAATTTTGACTCTCAAAATTACCATCAATTCTTAAAAGTTCCACTTGTCTAGGAATATCATTAATCGTAGAGTTCCATCGATAATGAGATACTAATAAAAAGTGATGTGATATTACGATTAGTAAATTAATTAAGCACATCATGAAATTAACATAAGATGAATATGAGTTACGTACATTTCTTACGCTCGGATCTTATTCTCTCAATCGCATCTTTATCTATTTTACTATTTAATGTCATACTCCTAGTTATGGATTCCCTTCTAGTGGCGCGAGGACGATACTCCTCCTGGGCCTTTTCCTTGCCCTTATCAGAAGGGGCGAACGATGAAAGTTCATCTGGCACAAACGAAGATCTATCGGAGTCTTTTTTGGAATCTGACATGGTAAACATACAGTTAATTAATTTGAATGTAGAGGACTAATATACAAAATTATACAAAATTAAATACATACTTTGTTTTCTAACTATCGTGTGTATTTCACCAGTTGTTGAATCAAAAAGTGTATAATGATCAGAGTTTCTGGGTTCTGGTAAATTAGGATAATGCAGTAGTCTGCTAGTGTAGAAAGCTTGAGGGTGCACTGTATTAGAATTGGTAAGTACAGACTTGACGTGACCACTCTTTACTTTCTTTGTCTTGGGACCTTGGAAGGGAGCTTTTCCATCTGACAGGTAGCGCCATTTGTATGACATACTTAATAGTTCATCAATGGTTGGACGTTTAGACGGTTCACAGTCCCAACAACGAAGCATCGCGGCCACATAACCTTTCGGGGTTCCGGAGACAATAGGAGGTCTTAAACCTAAACAAATTTCGCGAGCCAATTTATAATCATGAGCTCTATCGGCGAATGGTGGCTCGTTTGATGACATCTCCCACATTATCATTCCGAGACTGTATATGTCAGCAGCTTCAGTGTATGGATCACCCCTCAACACTTCCGGTGCCACGTACGGAAGCACACCATAAGAGTTTGAATCTTTAGATTCATTCACTGGACGGCACATCCCTAGATCAGTGATGTAGACCAACTTTTCGTGTCTCAGAATGTTGCCACTAAATTTTTTCAAGTAATAAAATATTGACATGTAAAAATATTAGCAATGTAAAATCACAGATAAATAAATAAATGCATAAATAAATAAATATATATATATATGTATGTTAATATTTAATATTTATTCATACCTATGGAAATCACGATGAACCAAACCAGAATCATGAATCCCTTTCAGTGCTTTTCCGATACGATCAAATAATACAATTTTTTCGTCCCATGTCAAGTCAGTAAAATACTTGGAAAGATAATTACGTAAATTTCCTTGTTCAGCATATCGCATCACCATCACATAACTGCCCGTTTTTGGGTCTTTACTAACACCGTAACAATCGACTATTCCGGAGCCAAGACTACAACGGTGATAAGATCTAAGCTGTATGCGATTAAAGATTGATTAATTAATAAACATAATGAAAGTTGATCATACGATAAATATTATCTAACAAACAAATTTCTAAAGAAACAGCTAATTTATTACCTCATCCAAAAAATCTTTAGCTAAATTTTCAGAGTTATCCAAAAATTTGAGAGCAACTTTTCCCCAATTTTCAGAATTTGCAGAGAAAACGACACCCATGCCCCCTCTTGCAACATATTCAATATTAGTAAAGCTTTCAAAAGGGATCCATCGCATATAATCATATGGAGTATTGGCGTTCAGTTGAGTTTCCCTGATAAAGGTATCAAGATCCTCATTGCCACTCGTCCATTTGTCGAACTGAGATTTAAGTTTGTTTGTGTCGCACGGCTTACACCACCCAATTGCGCTGCGTGGTTCTCCACATTTACCACATTTGCTCACTTTGATATTTGTAGAAGTGGTAGTTTGACGACTGAGAATCGGCTTAGAAAAGGCGGAAGAAGGTATATTAACACCAGCTTCCTTTGCTAATAAATGTTATTTAAAAGAAGAAAAAAAAAGCTTAATCATCGAAAGCTTGTAACACTCAAAAATTATGGCCGGGATTAATAACTTACCCAAATTCTTAAATACACTTGAATAATCCATTTTTAGTCGTAATACCCTGGCGTAGTCAATATGTCAGGATTATAAACAAAATATGGTAACTTTTTTATAAGTTTTTGAAGTTTTTATAAAATAAAGTTCATAAGCTAGCGAGATGAGGTCGCTTCTAACGACTATAAAAAAAAAGGAAAAGAAACGGTTTAAGAGAAAATAGAATGAATTAAATGAACCAAGTAAAGCACAGAGCAAAAGTCAGAATAGCGAATCAGATTGATTTGATCAAGTTTAAAGATGGGCGGTGCAAAAACTCAAACACAAGAAGCTCCTTAAATCAAACTTTCTAATGTTTGTGGCAAAACTGCTTTTTGTTTGATTGACTCGTGCTTCGTTACCTTTTACTTAACATGAATAGATACGTATATAGTCATACACTGTACCTATATTTAAATAATATAAATAAATTTACAATCGTCAATATAAAAAAAAAAAAAAAAACAGGATAACACCGGTTATTAAGAAATATGAACGCGTTTTTCGTAATTCATATGAAACATCTTTTTAAGGTTCTTTTCAAACTTTTAAGGTTCTTTTCACTTTTTTAAAAAAAGCATTTTTCATTGATATATTTGACTGTATTGTATATCTAAAAGTTTTTTAATTTTGACTTTTGTCGCAAAGTCTGCTTTTTTTTCCTGAAAAATCATGGATTATATGTGTAATACGTAGGTAGTAAGTAGTAATCATAAAGTTGCATACCTCATGCATGTCTAAAAGTGGATCAGAATAAATTATTTATAAGAAATCGTAAAAAAATCCATTAAATTTCATTATCTGCCGTTAAATGCGTATGCACATACATTCGCACAGTTGTAGAATCTAAAAATATGTAAATTATAAAATAAATTATTGACATCATCTTATCAGACCTAGCATTATCCAACAATAGTTAGTTGCATCGGGAACCTTCT